AAAGGGTTACATGTCCGGATAAGCAGTTTTGACGTTCACGTCCAAATGACTCAATATTTTGAGCTGAAATTTTGAGACCGGGTAAATGCACCATTCCTCTATATTTTGGCGCTTAACTTTCATACGTACTCGGACTTTTAATTTTGAGACTCTGTTCAATTCGGGATAGTCCCTTTAATCTTGTGTATTTAGCACTGATTTCTTTCACATTTTCATTCAATATCAAATCTTTGTTAAAAAATTTGCAAAAATCGTTTAAAATCACCCAAAATCATCTAATTTGTACTTGTTGTGTCCAGTTTAAAGCTGACCATTCAGTTTTGATAATGAGTGTCCAATTTACCAGCGTATAATTTCTCGATCACTGTTAAAAAATAAACAAACTAATTGATTATTGATGTACAATGTACATGTACAGTGTATAATGATTAATTTTTTAACAGTGATCGAGAAATTTAACACTTGTAAATTGGACACTCATTATCAAAATTAATCAGTTGGTTTTAAACTGGACACAAGTACAAATTCGATGATTTGATATTAAACGAATGTGAAAGAAATTAGTGATACATACACAAGATTAAATAATACATGTACCTGGGTTACAGTACTGAGTGGCCATTAAACTCCAAAGTTGATCGAGATTTTCTGGCGTGGTTTCCCCTTGTCAGTGGTGCAGAACGTAAAAGAGGCCTTGACAGTTGGAATTCAATACAAGAGTAAGCAGTAGTGCCACTGCCCAGGCAAAATTTCCCTCATAGCACACTGTATGGCGTATGTCTATCTTCATTAGCCCAGTAGGAGCAGAACAGTAGGACGTTAAACCTCATTTCATTTCATTTCATTTACATTAAACTCAATTTCTCTATCTCTTAGATTTTTAATAATTAGGCCTATGTCTTTGAATATGATAATTACACTGTAACCCAGTTTGGAATCCATGTACATGATGTTGAGTGTTTAGTTGACAAGTATTTAATTTCCTGACCACTGACTGTTCAGAAATTAATCATTATACATCAGTAAGCAATTGGGGGGGGGGGGGTTATTTTTTAACAGTGATCAAAAAAAATTAAACGCTTGTAAATTGAAAAGTCAGCTTGAAACTGGACATATAATACAAGTACAAGTTGGATGATTGTTGGTGATTTTAAACAATTTTTTTTTTTAAATCTTAGCCACAGTGGCTCCAAAGGTAATTGGAGTAGTCGATCGGCTAAAAAGGGAGCCCAAACTTATTTTGTATCCCTGTTTTTAGCACATCATTTATTTTTATCAGTCATTCGGACATTTCCCACTCTCTTTCCCTGGTGTATAAGATCTGGCTGCATGACTGCTCTATTAGTGTATAATATACAAGTATAATAGAAATAAAACCTACTCATCTTGGACTCTTGGTAATAAACTGACCTTCTCTGGAAACAATTAGCGAATTGGATTCATTTGATCATCTTTATTACAATACCCCACGCTGAGAACACTTGTAAAATGTCTGTGATGTATGTAGCTGTATTAGTACCAGCAGTAGTATCTTTCTCCGTTATAACTAAGTTATAATGGTAAAGTCTGGTAATTGTTTAAAAGATGTGTTTGTTACAGGCACATGTGACTTACACCACTTGTAGTGGTAACACAAGCAAGATGGGATGGCCAAGTGTTCTAGAGTGTCTCACTTCGAGCTCCAGCTGGCCGGCCAGTCACTTCTGGCTTGTGGTCATGGTTTCAATCTGTGATGTTAGCTTGCAGATAGGGATGACTTCTAGGCCTGTTTACTCAGGGTATTCTGGATTCCTACCACAGGAAAGACCCCCACGTGTGCCCTAAGCATAAAAAAATAAGACAACTTGACTGCGATATCATCATCGGTGGAAGCAGACATTATTAACCAATTGGCAAACCTCAGCAGATTCCAGTACCCTACATCTAGTTTCTAGTTCCCGGATTACCAATGGCATTGCCCATGACGACGCCTTTGAAGTCTGAAGCTATTTTTCTTTTAAGTTTATTCGATTTTCTTCAAACAAGGACAACTTTGCACTAAAAATTCAACACACGCTTTAAACAACACAATTTTGATAACTTCTTTTTAAAAGCGGCAAGTTTTCCTAATATGTAAACCGGTGCCGCATCGCAATAATATACATATAGGTACATATCACTTACCATCATACAGCCAATAAAGCAGTTTAAAAAAGCCACCACACTACCCGTACCTGTCTTTGTGAAGGCTTTTTGTATGTTTTTATTAACGCTATACAGTGTACCAACATGTCAGCAGAACTGTACTCTCCTCAATGGGGGGGTTGGATGGCCAAATGGTTAGCACATGCGTGCTGTATCATAAGTTCTGTAATTGAGTCAACTGGCGTGTTTACGATTCCCCGGTTGTATGTGACAATGAGTAGCGTCGCCTGTCCAACCTCTTGGGTTTTCTCCAGTTTCCTCCCACAGCTAAAGACCCCTACACGCGAGTGAATTATTGAAATAAAATTGAACCATGTTGTAGTCCCGAAATGACCTAGTTTGTGTGGAGTGAAGTTAAACCCCATTACTCTCTCTCTCTCTCTCTCTCACTCTCCCTCTCCCTCATCAATGGGCCAGTACTGGGTACCGTTCAACTAACTTACATGTACATGTACATTGTGAAGAATTTAGCGGCAGTGTTTTAAATGTAGATCTTTACATAGTTCTTTATCCCGTTTTAATGATGTACATGAAAATGGAAAACTGCAGTCTCTCACATCTTCCATAGTCCACACAAAGAAAGCTACATGTAGCTTAGTCATTCCAACGGACATAATCACTAATTTCACTATTTTCAGTCCTGTTTACACATTGACATGCACATAAAAGGTCCAATCCCGATAATATTTTGAAGAATAAATCTGGTTAATTTTGTGTTAAAACCACTTAAAATCATCTACCTTAGGGCCAAGCAATTAACTCAATATATTTGATACGTTTTCAAACAACTTAAACCCGTCAGTCTTCATATGGAAATGGTGACCAGTGCCCAAAGCTGTATTATGCGGTGTCTGGATAAAACCAGCCTTTTATTTATAAAAATAATGTGTAGGTGAAATTTACCTTTCGTTATCAAGTACAGCACATGGGTCATTCACTGTATAAACCTCTAAAGAAACGGGAATCGATTATCAGGTCACCCAACGAAAGAATTGACCCAAAATCTTAAAAGGGTTACTTGTCCGGATAAGCAGTTTTGACGTTCACGCCCAAATGACTCAATATTTTGAGCTGAAATTTTGAGACGGTAAATGCACCATTTCTTTATATTTTGGCGCTTAACTTTCATACGTACTCAGACCTCTAATTTTGAGACTCTGTTCAGGATAGTCCCTTTAAAGAACCCTGGACATGACAGTTGAAATTCGATATAAAAGTATGCCGTACAGTATGGCATATGCCTATCTTCATTAGCCCATCTTCATTAGCCCAGTAGGATGTTAAATCCCATTTCATTTCACTTGTACAATGGAAAGAGAGAAATGGGGTTTAACGTCCACTCGACACAAACTGGGTCATTTCGGGACCAACATATGGTTTAATTTTTTTATTTCAATAATTCGCTTGCGTAGGGGTCTTTAGCAGTAGGAGGAAACCATAGGACCCGGAGATAACCCACGAGGTTGGACTCAATGACAGACCGTATGATACAACACGCGCGTGCTAACCATTCGGCCATCCAACCCCCCTACTACAATGGTATTAGTGTTGGAACTCACAGTAGACATCCTTAAACTGTTCTTACAGTCTAGAACATGTATTTATTGATTTAAAACATATATATTTGACTTAATTAAATGAGTTTAAGATAGAAATAGAATTGTGACCATGTATCGTATCAGTGTGTTACAGGATTTTAGCAACCTGAAATTTCAAGATAATTTCTACACACTTGGGAACAATGCTAGATTTAGATGAGGCGAGGTTCTATCTTATTCCACTTATGAGCTCCTCTCCCCCCCCCCCCCTCCAAAAAAAAAAAAAATTCCCCACAACTCTAGGGTGGTAAAAGGGGTTTTAAAGTAGCTAATTCTCTAACTCAATATCATCCAAAGTCTTCAACATTAAAAAAACGAATTATTTGTCAATTTGAATCAACACTGATGTTTTGCTCTTACCGAGAAAAGATGGGCTTCTGATATCCAATATAAGACGAGATAAACATTTTACTATTGGTACAGGAATCGTGTACCATAATGCGTTTCAGCGCCATTTGTGACAAGGGACTCGGTGACCACATATTCTTATCTAGAGAGCATGCGAAATAAATACTATCGGTGTAGACAGGAATAACCAGATGCAAGAGATTGTCATTCGATTGAGACTTCTAGTGTATTTCGCCAAACATACAAATGTAACTGATTTAAAATTAGAGTAAAAATAGAAACGACTGAATGTAAATCAGTTCATATACATTCGTATTACATGTACATGTACATTATTATATGCTTTGCGACCCATTTGTGTCAATTTCTAGGTCCCAAATATTTGCGATTTTGCTCCTTTAAACACAGTTGGGGAAACCGAGGACTGATAGTGTCAAAAATATAATCGTTGCCCGGAGGCCCCATGAATCTGAATGATCTACATGTACCTTCAGTTTGCCATGCCTAATTAAATGTATAGGTATATCTGGCACTCGGTTTAATGTTGTATGTATATATCTGGCACTGGGTTTAAAGTTGTAGAAATAAATTGACCCAAGTTACAAATATGAAGCCATTAGCTTGTTACATGTACTGCTAAAGACCCCTATGTACAGGGCAGGCGAATTATTGAAATAAGTAAAATACATTATTTTACTCCAAAAATATCCTACATAGTTTGTGTCAGTGGACTCTCTCTCTCTCTCTTCCATTATTAAATATTGATATTTTTAGATTGGTTGATGTGTTTACATGTATGTCTCCCTCCCTCCCTCTCTCTCTCTCTCTCTCTATCTCTCTCTCTATTAATATTAAATTGATATTTTTTAGATTAGTTGATGATAGATGTGTTGTACAACCAGATGCAGGGGATCTCAACAATCCTCCGAAAAAATTCAGAGGTAAGACAATTTATATTTAGATACATGTGTTAATCATAAGTTAAAGGACAAGCACAATTATCCTTTTGTGTAACAGTTTGTACCTGACAATGTTTGTGACAGGTGACTTATGTCAAGGCTTCGTGGTAAACCGTATATAATATAGTGTATTGTCTTTCTTGATGTACATGTACCTACATGTATTTTATTAACATGCTATGTTTCAATACACATACAGGTACAGTGTCTCTATTCAGCAAATAATGATTAGTTAACATGTTGTTGTTCTTAGTATTTAACCTCTACTTCCACCGAAGATGATATCGCAGACAAGTCTTATTTTTCATTTTTATTATCTTGGCGCACGCGCAGGGGTCTTTCCTGTAGGAGGAAACCGGAGTAAACCCACAAGGTTGAGATAGTTAATAAAAATGTGGTGCAATATATAGATGAACACGTTAGAAGCCATTTAGCAGATAAAACAATAACAACAAATTGATTAACAAGATGAAAGATGTAATATACATGTGTATACAGAACAAGTAGAAACCATTTAACAGTTAATTAACAAGATCAAATATGTAATATATAGATAACAAGTAGCAACTATTTTAGCAGATAAAAGAAAAAGAAATGTGGGGTGGGCGGAGAGAGAGAAAACATTAACCACACACTAATTAAACATGCATTATGCAAGAGCAAAATCTGCTTATTTCAAGTCTTTCTTTAGGCCTGAAATGTTATCTAAATTATCAATTAGACATTAATTAACTTATCCAGACAATAATAAATTCTCGATGTCAAGGCTAGCCTTCGATGTTGGCTGGATTAGATTCCTATATGCCGCTAACGGCTATTGATAATTAAATCAATAAAAGTGGATAATCAAGACTATGCTGTTTATATTAATGATTTTAGTAATGATGACCGAGACTATGCAAAAATTTCACCCGCTTCTTTCTCGGCTCATAGTGGATCAATTTGACTGAAATTTTCAGCAAATTACCTTTACACTATCTAGTTTTTAACTATACTATTCAAAAAAAGTAGGGGATATTTGATTTTGGGGGCATAATACTAAAATATGCAAATGACTACGAAAAAAGTCACTATAGAACCTAACAGAAGAAACATTTCCAGTTACATGTGACGCCCAAACGCACCAATAGCTACCGCATGGAATGCAGGTGATGCTTGGGATCATCATGGGGGTCCAACCCAAGATTTGCACGACTCTGACTTTGAATGTTACAGTCATTGTGGCATTGAATTCCAGGGTGGAAACATCAGTTTAATTGTTTTAGTGACCAGAAAACAAATTTTGATATGCGTCGGCTTACCCAAAATGAAAGGTTACGTGCCCTTGGCATGCTACAGATCGGCACAACACAGGCGGTTGTGGCGCGGACGATGAATGTTTCTCAGTCTGTCATAAGCAGGCTATGGTCCAGATACCGTGATACACAATCTGTACAGGACAGACCACGCTCAGGTCGACCAAGGGCGACAACTCAAGCCCAGGATCGATTTATCCGTACCTTGGCCTTGAGAAATCGTGTCATCACAGCAAAACAGATCAGCGCTCGTCTTCAAACAGACTCTGGTGTGAGAGTGAGTGGCCAGACGATTCGGAATCGACTGCATAGGGGTCACCTTCGCGCCCGACGTCCTCGCGTGATCCCTTGTTTGAGAGATGATCACATTCAGGCAAGACGTCGTTGGTGTAGGGATCGTCAACACTGGGATAATCGACGCTGGAGCAATGTGATGTTTTCAGATGAGTCAAGGTTCACTGTTGATTTTTTGGACAGACGTAGGAGGGTGTGGCGTCGTCGAAACTAGCGCTTCCAAGACGTTAACGTCATCAGACATGATCGATTTGGGGGTGGTTCTGTTATGGTGTGGGGAGGCATCACTGTTGCTGGAAGAACGGCTTTACATGTTGTTGCAGGGCGTGTTACAGGCCAGTACTACCGGGACAACATCTTGGCAGTCCATGTTGTGCCGTTCGCACGACGTCATGGCCGCCGGTACATCTTCCAGGATGACAACGCAAGATGTCACAGGGCCAGGATCGTTACAGGTTACCTCCAACAACAGAACATCACCACATTACCTTGGCCAGCACTGAGTCCCGACCTCTCCCCCATCGAGCATGTCTGGGACATGCTTGGACAGAGGTTACGTCAACGTCAACAACGTCCTGCCAATGTCCAAGAACTTGCTGCTGCGTTGCAACAGGAATGGGACAATCTGGACCAAAATGACCTTAGACGTCTCATTAGGAGTATGCCACGTCGGATCAATGCTTGTTTGGCAAACAGAGGAGGATTTACCCGTTACTGACTTGGTTGTGATGCTGTGGTAACTTTGCTGTTTGACCCCGGCTATCATTTTACCCTTATAATGGTCAGTCTGTGCCTTACTTAGTCTAACGATCATTTGGAATAAATCGATGAATGTGAACTTTATTTCATTTTGTCATTTGTTTCTTCGTCAGTTTCATTAGGTGACTTTAATAACACTTAAAAATCAAATATCCCCTACTTTTTTTGAATAGTATTTCAAGTCTTTCTTTAGGCCTGAAATGTTATCTAAATTATCAATTAGACATTAATTAACTTATCCAGACAATAATAAATTCTCGATGTCAAGGCTAGCCTTCGATGTTGGCTGGATTAGATTCCTATATGCCGCTAACGGCTATTGATAATTAAATCAATAAAAGTGGATAATCAAGACTATGCTGTTTATATTAATGATTTTAGTAATGATGACCGAGACTATGCAAAAATTTCACCCGCTTCTTTCTCGGCTCATAGTGGATCAATTTGACTGAAATTTTCAGCAAATTACCTTTACACTATCTAGTTTTTAACTATTATAGCGAGAACTGCCATCTCTTTATCTTATCTCCCATAATGTATCTTTAAGGATTAAGTAAATCTACCCATAGATTTGGGAGAAAATGTCCTGATTCTCTGTATGCCAGAGATAATTCTGCCTATTGCAGGTCTTTCTTTAGGCCTGAAATGTTTTCTAAATCATTAATTAGAAATTAATTAACTTATCCAGGCCATAATCAACTCTCGATGGCATCGGATTTCTCCGATATTAAATAGATTAGAACAGTTCAGCCATATTTTGATTTAAGCTAAAAATGGAGGAGCGAGACTTAGCTTTGAACAACCAGGGTGGTGGTTGAAAATGTTGCACACGTCTTGTCAAACCTTCAAAGGCTAATATCTTCGTTCGCAGTAGAGTAATTTGAATGAAATTTTCACATTATTCATGTTACATTATCTATTTTTTCGAACTATTATAGCACAAATGGATAGCTCTTTATCTAAATCTAACATAATGTATCTTTAATTTAGGCTTATGCTTCTGAATTTCTACGGCTTTTTGGAGAATTCTGTTTTTCCACATTGTCAAGTTCCTGACTAGAATTTCCGTCTTTTCCTGGGGGTTTGGATGGCCGAATGGATATCATGTGCGCAGTGTATCATAAGGCCTGTCATTAAGTCAACTGGCGTGGTTTCGAATCCCGGGTTGTACGTGACAAGGAGTAGGGTCGCCTGTCCAACCTCGTGGGTTTTCTCCGGGTCCTCCGGTTTCCTCCCACTGCTAAAGACCCCTTTGCGCAAGCGAATTATTGAAATAAAATTAAACCATATGTTAGTCCCGAAATGACCTAGTTTGTGTCGAGTGGAGTTAAACTCTCTCTCTCTCTCTCTCTCTCTCTCTCTCTCTCTCTCTCTCTCTCCCATTATATTACAAACCATATTTTATACAGAGTAGTCTGTTACATGTATATAAATGATGATGTAAGGTATTTTAGTGAGTCTGTTCATTCATTGAAACATTAAATACACCATACATTGCTGAGTAACCTAACATAGCACATACATGTACATATATGTGAGTGTCTTACATGTACGGTATATATATAGTTTTTGTTTTGATGTTAATGGGCCACTCTGGAAAAAGTATGGTATATTCTGGAATGTTTGTTTCATGTTAAAATATTACTCCCCATTACAACGCAATAATTGTTAATTGTTAATTTCATCATTATTAAATGCTGCATCCATTACAAAATAAATAGCATCATTAAATGCCAGGTTTTATTATGAAGTGAATACATGTATATAATTGTTGGTTTCCAAAGATAACAGACGATCAAACTTTCTCTTTTATACCAACCAGACATTGATTTTTAAGGCAAGCGATTGCTCTTGAGCACCTGCCCGGCACCTGAATGTCAGTTAACCTAGGGGAGGTTTTCTCCCGCCACTTAAAATTGAAAATCGCTCTCCTTTACAAGGTCCTTGGGGATTTATTATCATTTATGAAACCAGGAATGACCCTCTAACATGCAGTTATTGATCTTCTGAACATTATCCCATACACACTCACTCACCTTAATATCAGATCATTCTCCTTAATTTCTAAATCACTCTTCTTATCGAAACTCGGGGAGCTTTTTAGGGGAGCAATTTTTTCAATTAGTGGATTCATGTTTGTTTTTTTTCAGCTCTCCTCTGAAATAAGATCAACGACTTGCATGTACATACATGTAAATATGGCAGATAAATTCAAAATTATGTTATAGATAATCCAAAAAAGAGATAAAAATGATAATCTAAAGAAAAGGTTTTGCTTGATCATTGACTCATCGTCATACATGTATCTATATTATTAACTGTTAGCTTGATAATGTTGATAGAATAAGTCTCTGTTTTCCACAAGGGTACGGGACAATTCGTTCCCTCGCAACTCGTACCTGAGGACAATTCCTCCCCAAGGACTATTCGTCCCTAGATAATTTGTCCCCAGACAATTCGTCCCATAGCCCTAAGGGACGAATAGTCCTATGAGACTAACAGTCCTGATACGAATTGTTCCGGGGATGAATTGTCCTCAGGGACGAGTTGTCTGAGGACGAATTGCCCGGGGGCGAATTTTCCTACATGTATGTTTTTTGTTTCGTAAAAAAAGTAATTAATGCTTATACTCCC